GGAAGAAATGGATGCCTTCCTGGAAACCTATAACTACCAAGACTGAAACAGGAAGAAATTGACAACCTGAAAAGAACAATAACCAGTAACGAGATTGAAGCAGTGATCAAAAACCTCCCAAAAAACAAGAGTCCAGGACCTGATAGAATTCCCTGGGGAATTCTACCAAACATTAAAAGAAGAAATAATACCTATTCTTCTGAAGCTGTTTCAAAAAATAGAAACTGAAGGAAAACTCTCAGACTCATTCTATGAGGTCAGAATTACCTTGATCCCCAAATCAAGCAAAAACCCCATTAAAAAGGAGAATTTCAGACCAATATCCCTGATGAATATGGATGTCAAAATTCTCAACAAGATCCTAACTAACAGGATCCAACAGTACATTAAAAAGGTTATCCATCATGACCAGGTGGGATTTATCCCTGGGATGCAAGTGTGGTTCAACATTTGAAAATCAATTAATGTGATAGAGCACATTAATAAGAGGAGGGAGAAGAACCATATGGTCCTCTCAATTGATGCAGAAAAGCATTTGACAAAATACAGCGGCCTTTCCTGATTAAAACTCATCAGAGTGTAGGGATGGGGGAATAGTCCTCAATTTCATAAAAACCATCTATGAAAAGCCCATAGCGAATATCATTCTCAATGGAGAAAAGCTGAGAGCATTTTCCTTAAGATCAGGAACACGACAAGGATGCCCACACTCACCACTGTTGTTCAACGTAGTACTAGAAGTCCTAGCAACAGCAATCAGACAACAAAAAGAAATAAAAGGTATTCAAATTGGCAAAGAAGAAGTCAAGTCCTAAGATCTTTGGGGTGACATGCAAAGGTCCTGAGACCAGAAAGAATTTGGGGAACTGAGTAAATGTAAGCATGGCTAATGGGACAAGATAGAAGATGAGCTGGAGAGATTGGCAAGTGCTGAGTCACACAGGACTGGGTTGCAATTCTGGTTTCGGGTGGGTTTGAGTTGTGAGCAACTGAGCCAGAGGAAGAGGGTAATGGGAAGCTCAGATGAGATACCACAAGTGGCAATGTGCCGGAAGTTTGCAAAGAACAATGTTGACTTTGCAGATGAAAGAGGAAACTGTTAATGAGAAGAGGTACAACTAAGATGTCCTGCAGGGAAAGGAAATAAATAAGGCATGTTGTAAGAAGTGAAGAGCCTGACTCTAAAGACCCAGAGAATAATCCATCCCTTAAAGTTTTTGCAGCACTTTATAAAGTGCTTTCCCACTCTACCAATCAATGTTGGCATTACTGTTTACTCCTCTTTCTTTCACACCCCACACCCGGTCCTTTGGCAAATCCTGTTAACATCACCTTCAGAATAAACCCCGAATCTTGTGCCTTCCACAGCTCCCAGTGGGGTTGCATCCACCATCCTCACTTACCTGGACAGGTGCAGGCACCTCCTCCCTGGTCATCCTGCCCCTCTACAGTTCATCTTCCAGCCAGGGGCCACAGGATCCTGTTAAAAACCTCAGTCCTGCTGTGTCCTGCCTGTGCTCAGACACCTCGTGGCTCCCAATGCTCTCCATAGAAAGCCAGAAGTCTAGCAGATCTAACGATCTGTCCATGTCCAGGCCTCCCATTTCCCCCTGCCCACTCTGTTCCAACCACACCGACCTCCTTGTAACTCCACCAAATCTCCAGGCGTGGTCCTGCCCCTTCATGCACTTACTGTTTCCTCTGCCCTAGGTACCTTCATAGCTCACTCACCTCCCTCTGGTATTTGTTCTAATGTTAGCTTCTCAGCGAGGTCTTCATTATTGAGCACCGACTGTGTACTGGGCACTGTTGTATGCACTCAGCACACAGCAGCGAATGACACAGACACAAATCCTTGCTTTCTAGAAACTCAAAGTCCATCAGGGCAACAGACTTAATCACAAAAGTTTTTACAAAGAATTGTCTTAGAAATTGCCTGAAAATTGATTCCATTTCCAACCAGATCTACCTCTTCTTGGGTAGCGGTAGTGAAAATCACTCACTTCAGGTTTCAACAGGCCTGGAGCTGCCACTCACCAGCTGTGTGTCCTTGGACAAGTTACTCAACCTCACTGAGCCTCAGTTGTCCACATCTGTATAATGGGAATTGTATTAGTATTCTACAGCTGCTCTAGCAAATTACCACAAACTTAGTAGCTTCAAACAACAAAAACATTACCTTACGGGTCCGGAGGTCAGAAGTCCAAAGTGGGTCCCAATGGGCTAAAATCAAGATGTCAGCAGGGCTGTGTTCCTTTCTGGAGGTTCTAGAAGATAATCTGTCTTTTCGCCTTTTCCAGCTTCTAGAGGCCACCTGGATTCCTTGCCTGTGTCCCTCCTCCTCCATCTTCAAAGCCGGCAATGACTGGCCAGGTCTTTCTCACATTGTGTCACTTTGCCTCTCCTGGCTTCACCTTCTGTTTATAAGGACCTTTGTGATTACACTGGCCCCATCTGGGTAATCCAGAAAAATCTCCAGAATAATCTCTTCATCTTGGGATCAGCTGATTACCAATCTTAATTCCATCCGAAACCTTAGTGCTCCCTTACCACATAGCATAGCTTATTTGTAGGTTCTGGGGATTAGGATGTGGTCATCTTTGGAGGGGCCATTATTCTGATGACCACAGGAATGATAATATCAAATAAGTCTCTTCCCAGGCACCAAAAGCCTGCCTCCACCTCTGGCTTTGTCTTTCTGGAGCTTACAATGTGGTGGGGGAAATGATCACTAAGAAGCTAATCATACAAAAAATGAGCAACTATAATTATGATAAATGTTACAGAGAAGGAGCACAGGAAGCCTTGGGGGAGTCAGGGGAGGCTTTCTGGAGGAAATGACACTTAAACAAGATCTGAGGAGTGAAAAGGAGCTGGCCAGGCAAAGCAGAGGCAGAGGGAATAGCACATGCAAAGGCCCTGAGGTGGGATGTCTGGAAATGGAGACGAACATGAGATGAGGCTTAAAGACGTGGTTGGGTCTGGTCACGGGGGCCTTGTGGGTCCTGTTAAGTGGTTTGGATTTTAATTCTGAGTGTGACAGGGAGCACTGTAGGCAGGGGTGGGGGTAGATGATCAAATCTGTATTCAGAGATGACTACTATGTGAAGAGATTGGAGGGGACAATGAAGGATTTAGGGATGTAGAATCCAGAAGAGGACCTGTGGAAATGGAGAAAAGCTGGTAAATGCCAAATGCTATTTGGAGAGAGAACCACCAGGGCTTGGGGACCCACTGGATGTGAGGGTGAGGGCTAAACAGGTAAACTGAGGTACAAAGAGGTGAAATCACTGGTCTCAGAGCTGAACGGGCTAGGATGTTGTTTTGACTGCTTCCACATAAACGAAACAACTTAGAAATTTATTTCTTAGAAGTGCATTCTTTTTCTTCTTATACATCTCCAACTTGTAGATGGAACAGGGTGACAGGGCTGTCCAGATCATCCCAGCTCCCAGGTGTCTCCCATCTTGTTGCCTCTCTATCCCTCAGCATTGTGGCTTTCCCAAACCATCATCCCCATGGTGAGGGATAGATCAGCCCACTCTGTCCATGTTCCAGCCCAGGGAGAAGGGGAAATGGGAAGGAGGCAACATGTTTACTCTTTTTAAGGGCATGGCCAGACAGTATGCATATCACTTCTTCATGTGCCCACTGGGCAGATCTTAGCCTCATGGCCACACCTAGTGCAGAAGACGCTGGGAATACAGTCTTTGATTGGATGGTCATGTTACTAAAAAGAAGCAGGAGAGATGGGTCTGGGGGAATAGCTGCTGTTCTCTCCTTGGAGGTTTGCTGCTGGAGCTTTAACCTGGGTCTTCTGTGCTCCAAAGGCTGAAATGTTGAGTCTCAGACTCTTGTGTCTAGAGTTCTGATGCTCATGGTGTGGGCCATGGACCAGCAGCATCAGCATCATTCAGGGGCTTGTGAGAAATGCAGAATATCAGGCCCCTTCCTAGACCTGCAGAATTGGCATCTGCTTTTCCCAGATCTGGGACCCAGGTGAGGCAGATGCTGTTGGTCTGAGGACCACACTTGCATTAGCAAGTGTCCATGTCAGTGCATCTAACACTTTCCTGTGCACACAGGTCACACAAGGGTGTGTGTCTTGCTAAAATGCAGATTCTGATTTATCAGTTCTGGGGTGGGGCCTGAGATGTTGCCTTTCCATCAAGTTCCCAGGTAGTGCTGATGCTCCCACTTGACAGCACTGAACAGTTTCTCAGGGCTGTTATAACCAGTTGCCACAAACCAGGAGGCTTAAAAGAACAGAAATCTATTCTCTCACTGTTCTGGGGGCCAGAAATCTGAAATCAAGGTGTCTGCAGGGCCATGCTTTCTCCGAAGGCTCTAAGCGAGAATTTGTTCTGGTGTGGCTGGCAGTCCTTGGTGTTCCTTGGTTTGTAGGCACATCACTCCAGTCTCTGCCTCTGTCGCCCCCATGGTGTTCTCCCTGAGCCTGTCTCTGTGCCTCTTCGCCTCTTCTTATAAGGACATCAATCATATCAGATTAAAGGACCATCCTACTCCAGTAGGATCTCATCCTCACTGAGGTCTTTTTTTTTTAAATTTGAGAGAGAGCGAGCGAGTGAGAGAGAGAGACAAAGAGAGAGAGAGACAAAGAGAGACAAAGAGAGAGAGAGAGAGAGAAAGCACGAGCAGGGGGGAGGGGCAGAGGGAGAGAGGGAGAAGCAGACTTCCCACCCAGCAGGGAGCAGGTTGCGGGACTCCATCCTAGGACCCTGGGATCACGACCCAAGCTGAAGGCAGACGCTCAACTGACTGAACCACCCAGGCATCCCCTTCACTGAAGTCTTAATTACATTTACAAAGACCCTATTTCCAAATAAGTTTGCATTCTCAGGGACCAGGGTTTAGGGTTTCAGCATATTTTTTGGGGGGCACAGTTCAGCCCACAACAGTCCCCTTCATATTCTCATGCTGGCTGTCTTTGAAGCCCACACTGGGGCTCTAACTTGACCTCTTCCCTCTGTGCTGCCCAGATGTGAATGAGTGTCTGGATACCACCATGTGCCCAGCTTACGCAACCTGCACCAACACTTTGGATAGTTACTACTGCACTTGCAAACGAGGATTTCTGTCCAGCAACGGACTGACGCAGTTCAGGGACCCAGGAGTGACATGCGAAGGTAAGTACACACCCCCTCAAAACCCTCCAGCATATTGTAGGAAAATCAGGTGGAAGCTGGCTGGGTAGTGGATGTAGGTACTTTTTCTTTTCCCGAACATTTTTCTCCCCCTCCCTCTCCCTTATCCTTCTTTTCTTTCTTTTTCTTTTCTTAAAAAATTTTTTAATTTAAATTCAGTTAGCCAACATATAGTACATCATTGTTTTCTTTTTTTCTATAATGACAATGATTCTTGCTCACTCAACATTCCAACGATTCAGAGCTAACATTAGAATGAAAATAAAAGTAAAAACCATGTTATTTGTCAATATCCAAAAATAACCACTGATTTCATTTTGGGAAATCTCCTTTTGGTTGTCTCTCCATGCAGAAAACAGGAATTTCTAACATTCACTGAGTACCAGGTCCCCTGTGAAGGGCTTTCTATGTATTTTTACATTAAACTGAGTGCAGGCATCATGATGATCTCCACTATACAGATGAGGAAACTGCTTGGGGCACTGGAATGACTCATTCATGGTCTTGCGGTTGAACTGGCCTCCAAACCCACATCTTTCTGACTCTAACAGCAGTTTCTGAATCACGTCACCTAGTTGTGAGGTGTTGGGGAAACGTATTTACTCTCTCTAAGCCTCAATGTTTCCATCTGTAGAATGAGTGTATAAGAGTACCTACCTTAAAGGATAGTTGGGAAAATTAAATGCAGTCATGTGTATGCAGTGTGCTAGGCACAGTACAAGTGATATAAGTAATATAAATTGAAGTAATCCCCAGAATGAGCAAAGTTCTTTGTCTGTATTTCTTATATTTAGATGCCAATTCTCCCCTTGACAGCCAAGATCTGACTGTGCCTCTTAATAATACCAGGGTCAGCAAACTATTTTATGCAAGGGGCCAGAGAGTAAATATTTTGGAGGTTGCAAGCCGTATGATCTCTCTCATGACTACTTAACACTCCAGTTTTAGTGCAAAAGCAGCCATAGATGATGCACGAAGGAATGGATGTGGCTTTGTTCCAACAAAACCTTATTTATACAAACAGGTGGTGGACTAGATTTGACCCATGAGCTGTAGTTTGCTAGGCTCTGAATAAGATAATTCATTTCTATTGTTGTAGTACCCAGGGTGCTCCCAAATCCTTCTTTACCTTTGGGTTACAGTTCATGGGTTATTTGGTAAGCTTCAGTAGTCCCGATGGGCTCTGGTTTCCAAATTTGGGTTGAAATCAACATTCCGCATCCAGAAAATTATGGATACTACAGCAAGGATTTCATCCCCTTTACGACTTTGACCCCCCTATGGTGCCTGATATATTGTGAGTATTCAGTAGATACTTGTTGAATGAAGGAACATGTTACCTTATTCTTTATGTCAACTACAGATTTAATCAGCCTTAATTGGTTGTCTCTAATGTTTTACTACTTCAAATAAAAGTGGAATGAACATTCCTATGGTCTGATCTTGATGTAGAGGGGCAACTCCCAATTTCTGTCTAGGAGAGGCACAGTTTTCTGGGAGGAGCTATAAGAGACTTGCCTTGAAGCTGTATTTGCATGACAAATATGTAGCAAGAGTTTAGGATGACTTGGCAGACCAGGGATGAAGGAGACTTGGGTTGGACCACCCCATGGTACCACAACTGCACAATTTCATGGGTCCTCCAATTAGTAAATTGCTCTACGTGGCTTTGCAAATTGTTCTTTTTTATCTACTGCTGGGTAGCAGAGCACCTGCAAACTTACTACATCAAAATAATGGCAATCATTTTTTTTGTTCATGAATGTATCTGTCATTTGGGTTGAGTTTGGTGAGTATGGTTTGTCTCTGTTCCATGCAGTGTCAACTGAGTTGGCTCAAGTGGGGGCTAGAGGATCCACTTTAAAGAGAGCACACTCACATGGCTGGTGAGGTGGTGCTGGCCTTAGGCTGGCTGCTCCACCAGGGCTGTGGGCTGGAGGTCTTGGTTCTTCTCCATATGAGCTGCTGTTTTCATGGCTTGTTCCTCACAGTATGGTGGCTGAGTTCCAAGAGAACAAGGAGGGAATGCATGGTATCTTTAGGACCTGGTGTCACCACCTTCGCAGTCACAGCATGTTCAGATTCAAGGGGAGGGAATATAGACCCCACTGCTTGCTGGAAGGAATACAAATTCCCATAGAATGAAGGGCATACAGCATGGAAGACATCATTTCTGCCATCTCTGAAAATACAACGTGCTACACATGATGAGGCAAGTTTGTAACTCCAACTCTTTCTGTGTCCAGATATAGATGAATGTTCTCAAAGCTCCCCACCATGTGGTCCTAACTCAGTCTGCAGAAACCTTATGGGGAGGTACAGATGCAGCTGTTTCCCTGGTTTCTCTTCTCCCACCGGAAATGACTGGGTCATGGGAAATCCGGGTCATTTCTCCTGCACAGGTAATGCTCTCAGGCATGGGTCTTTGGTAAACAGTGACCACTTAACTTGGGTACATGTGTCCCTCACCTTAGACACACAATCTTTGGTCTGCTCACTCTCCTCCACTGCTCCTCAGACATCAATGAATGCCTCTCCAGTGGTGTCTGCCCAGAGCATGCTGAGTGTATCAACTCCTTGGGAAGTTACAATTGCAGCTGCCCGGTTGGATTCATCTCTCACAACTCCATCTGTGAAGGTATAGAGGACCTGTTTTTCTTTATTTACCTACTTAATTAATTAAGAACCACCTTACTTAATGATCCTGTGAGGTAGGGATTATGTTATTCACTTTGGGGATAAGAAAATTAAGGCTCAGAGCATTGAAGCAACTTCCCCAAGGATACACAGCTGTTCAGTAGAAGAGGCGGGATTTGAATTCCTGTTGAGGGCCTACTATGAGTCAAGCAGTGGGTCAGGCAGTACTTGAGAGTGATGAAGTGCTCTCTCCCTAGAGTGATATCCTTCCAGGGAATATTGGCAATGTCTGGAGACATTTTTGATTGTCACAACTGGTGGTGGGGAAGGAGGGTTGTGGGTGCTACTGTGATCCAGTGGGGGAGAGGCCAGAGATGCTGCTAAACACCCTGCAATACATGGAACAGCTTCCCTACAACCAAAAATAATCCGGTCCCAGATGCCAGTAGTTCTGAGGTAGAGAAACTCTGTCCTGGGGAGAGCTCAGACTCAAACTTCAGAACTTTTACTAAACCGTATTTGACTCAAGACCTGAGAGTTACCCTCAACCCCCCACCCCACCTCCATATTAAAACAGTCATTGTATCTTGGGGAATTTCCTGCTAAATATGTCTTAAATCTCTCCATTCTTCCCCATCCTTGGTCGGGGTTTCACTGTTATTTTATCAGACTCCTCACTGGGCTTTCCCTTCCTCCAGTTTTGTCCCCTTGAATCCATCCTCCAAACTGTAGCCAGAATATTCTCACAAGATGCAAGGGCTCCATCTTCCTGAGTCTGGTGCAGTGCTACCACGCTCATTTGTAGGGAAGGTGACCCCATCAAGTAAGGCATGGAGTGATCAAGACCTTATCACATCCCCTTGGCTTGGAATGAGAGATATTTGAAGTCCTCTCTGATTTTTCTGATCCATCTGGAGCAGTTAGCTATTGCTGAGTAACAAATCACCCTGAAAGTCAGTAGCTAGAAACAAACACCATCTATTTGGCTTTCTATTCTGTGCATTCAAAGTTTAGGTTGGGCTCTGCCGGGTCAGTTCTTTGGGTCTCTATTGGGCTTTTCATGTGTCTGTGGTCAGCTGTGGGTCAGCTTTACTCATCTCAGCTGGGCTGCCTCACAGTCAGGGCAGTCATCTGGGATAATCCATCTCTCTTCTACTTTGTCTTTCATTCTTCGTTAGGCTAGTCTAGTGCTTGTTCATATGGAAGAAGCAAGGAACCCAAAGAATGAACAGAAGCAAATAACTCTCTAGAAGTCTAAGTATGGAACTGGCACCGTATCATTTCTGCTGCATTCTATTGGCAAGTGAACATCATAGGTCAGCTAGATTGAAGATGTGGGGAAACAAGCTCCACATCTTAAAAGAGTAGTGGCAAAAAGTCACATTGCACCACATCATCTGCAGCCCATGGTGTAGGTACGGGGAAGAGTAAAGAAGGACAGCCACGTCTATGGTCATTACTTTTTGGAGCTATTTACCACACTCTCTGGTTATATATGTTGGGCTCATGATTCTGTGGGTTGACCGAATGGTTTTTCTGGGTCACTAGGATGGCTGCCAGGTCCAAAATAGCCTCACTTACATGGCTAGTAGTTGGTGCAGGCATCTGGCTCGGAGCTCAGCCGGGCCCCTCAATTTCCCTCATGGGCCCATCCTCATGGATTCTTGGGCTTCCTCAGAGCATGGCAGCTGGTTTCCAGTAAAGGAAGTTGCAAAGGGAAGGAAGCAGAAACTGTGGGTTCTTGTAAGACCTGCGCTTGGAAGTCCCAGAACGTTACTTCTGCCACATTCTCCTGGCCAAAGTCATGGGGCCAGCCTAGATGCCAAGGAAGGGGAAATTAACTCACCATCTCGTTGGGGGACAACAAATGCACACAGGAAGTGGAGGGAGGAATTGATGGCAGCCATCTTTGGAGGATCTACTCTACTGCAGAACATGTCTTATGTTCTTTGACCCGAGGGCAAATACGTGCTTCTTTTCATTAAAAATGTTCTATTTCTTTTCATCCATTGATCTTCATCAGCTGTTGACGTTGTTAGAGGCAGAACAATAGAGAGGCAAATTTGAAAGGGACCTTAGGGATAAACTAATACAGCACTCCGGGCTCCTAGGCATTTTTTCAGGACCCCGTTTTGGTTAGATTATCACCACTCGTATTTGTTTTAACTACTCAGTAGGTTTCACTTTGTGTGAAGGAAGGTTTCCTCAGCTAAAACAGTTTTGAAAACCATGCACCTAGTCCAGCTCCATATGCAAAATGTAAATTCCACTTGTGCTATTTCTTTTGTTTAAGTGCTATTATTATTATTATTTTCAATTAGCCAACATATACTACATCATTAGCTTTTGATTCAAGGTTCAATGTTTTATTAGTTGTGTATAGAATTGCAGTGGGCACTATTTCTTTTTTTAAAAAAGATTTTATTTATTTGAGAGAGAGAGACAACATGAGAGGGAGGTAGGGGCAGGGGGAGAAGGAGAAGCAGACTCCTCGCTGAACAGGAAGACTTTGGGGGGCTCGATCCCAGGACCCTGGAATCATGACCTGAGCCGAAGGCAGATGCTTAACCAACTGAGCCACCCAGGCACCACCACCCCCAATCTGTGCTATTTCTTTTTTCTTTTTCTTTCTTTCTTTCTTTCTTTCTTTCTTTCTTTCTTTCTTTCTTT